TTACTTTCTAAAGTGCTATCATTTTCTGGTGCTAGTAACCATGAAAGATCTCATTTTGCAATAATTTCACTGATATTGGCCATTATTAATTAAAATAATACTGTAGAGGCAGTGGTGTTATATTTCAAGGCAATATTAACTTTGCCATTTCTCCTTTTTTTTTTTAAAGCAATATACAAATTCCTTTTACTACACCTAAAAGAAGCTTGGGCTTGTGTCCCAGAGTTCCAGAGTGATTTCGAGGGTCATAGGAAACTGAAGAGTTGGCTATGTATGCCCACCTAAGCTTTACATAGAGGCAATGGCTGGAGGAACATCAGATTGCATTGACAGCCTTGTCTGGTTCCCAGCTTTTCGGGAGCTGAATCATATATGTAAATCAGTGATTAGAAATTCAGAGTACATTTGATATTATAAACAGGCTGCCAGATAAAGGTAATTCAACCCAGTGAAAGGATGAAATAAGTTTTTAGATTGGTTTTGTTTTAATGGTAGAACAAAAACCTGTAGTATCCCTTTGATCTAGTAGGCATTGTAAAATAATGTCAACACTCCATTTCTAAGCTACTCACAGCCTATCATACCTGCTCTCAGAGACTGCCTTCCCTAACTTTCCACAGCCTCCTGGGAAGTAGGAAGAGGACCATACTGAGAGACACACACAGAAGGAAGTAAAAACAGGAAGTGATAAAAATAGATGATTCAAAGTTCCATTTTGACATTTAGGGTAGGGGCTCTGGGACACTGCAGGGAGGTGGCTTGCTTCATCTTCTATGTGAAAATTGTACAGTTGTAAACAGGCTAAATTCCTATCTCCATTTGGTCTTCTCAATAGTCGAAAACCATCCCTTACTGAAAGACATCGCTGTAAATAAGTAACTGGCACTGTATCCTAGTGTGAGAGGCTCTTGAAACTGAGCTTCAGGCATGAGAATGAAGGAACAGTGTAGACATACTGTCCCAAAGAAACCAGAATCTTGAGTCTTGACAAGACAGTGAGTTCGGAGGGGGAAGCTGAATCAGGGAGCAGATTAGAAAGAAATACAGGGCTGGAGGAGAAGTTACCTTCACACTTTTGTGACACAGACAATGTAAAGGAGAGACACTATTTTAGCTCTCAGTTACAGAGGATTTTGGTTCCATGACCTGGGGAAGAATGACAGAGTGCTTCAGATCATTAATAGAGGCATGTGGTGGTGGACATTCACATCACAGTGAGCAGGGAAGTGAAGAGCAAGGTAGAAGCCAGCGCTTGATGCTGGCAACTTATGCACCCATCAGGGCCCCAGCTTGCAGAGGTTCCAAACTATCCTAAAACAGCACCACTAGCTAGGAAATAGATATCTAAAACACACACCTACTGGGAACATTTCACAATCAAACCAAACACACACACACACACACAAAATGGTAGCTGTGTCAGGGAGAACAGGAAAAATAGAAGAGTCTTGGCTCTTTGGGGGTTCAGAAACTTTAAATGTTAGGTGTCCCTATATGATCAAGCCAACCCAGTTTATAAGCAGCATCAAATAAGGAGGAGGTAGATGCATAATTATTAAAATGTGTGTGGAAAATTTATTCTGACCCTATAGAAACTGCATCCTGTTTTTATTATGTTTTGTTTTTGTTTTGGGGGGGGGGGTTGGTGAAAGGTAGAAATTCTACAAAAGATCAAGAATGGGGTTTGCATGGTCTACAGATCTATGGTTGGCATGAATTCCTTGACATATGTACTTGTATATTATTGTATGTGTGTAGGTGTGTGTGTGTGTGTGTGTGCGCGTGTGTGTGTGTGTGTGTGTGTGTGTGTGTGTGTGTGTGTGTGTGGCAGCTACAGTTTATTACCGGGTATCTTTCTCAATTGCTCTCCATCTCATTTTTAAAGATAACCTCTTTCACTGAGACCCAGAGCTCAACAATGGGGCTAGACAGGCCAACCAGCAAGGCATGGAGAACCTCCTGTCTCTATTTCCTTAGCACTGGGATTATAGGTTCATGACATTATACATGAGTGCTAGGGATCTGAACTCAGGGCCTCATACTTGCACAACAGACATTTTACTGGCTGATCCATCTCTCTAGCCATTTTGATGGCAATCAGTTACTTCTGAAATGTTCTCATTGTATGGTCACATTGAAGATGATTTGTGTCTCATACAGCCTTGATGATACACCAGAAAGATTATGAAGATATCTGCAAGGTCCAGAAAATTTTCCTGAAGAGGATATTTTGGTGCTACATTTTACTCCTCATAAGGCTAAAAGAGTAGACCATAGGATTCTGGGGGTCCCAAGGAAGTCAAAATGGGATTTTTTTTAGCTAATAATATGTGTACAGAGAGATCCAGAATCTGCTCTGACCCTTTATAGCTGGGTCCTGTTACAATACATGTCCTATTACCTTTTACTAGTCCTCATGCTATGGTGCTGTCATGTAGATTAGAGATCTAACCACATGCTTCCTCAAGCAAACAAGAAAGACCCTGGTTAATGTAGTCAGCGTTTACAAATGGGAACACAGAGTCTCTGGGATTACTTAGTTCAAGAAGGCAACTTCTTACGTGTGGAGAAAAACATTCCAGTGCAGCATGGAGTGGAAGCTTGGCATTGCCAGCATGCTTTTCAAATGTTGTGTTCTGCCCAACTTAGTCCAACAGGGCTACAAAATGCAGGCTTTCCTTATGTGGCTTGAAGGACTCCAGATGCCCGCCCCTCTGAATGCCCACAGGGGCTTTTCTAGAGTCAGTTTCCAGTCGGCCTGAGCCAGCTTCTTTCTTTTTTTTTTTTTTTTTTTTTTTTTTTTTTTTTTTTTTTTCTTCTTCTAGTAACATCACTTGAGAGGTAGCAAGGAAGCAAGGAAGCTGATCTTAATTCTTCCTTCAACATGACATGCCCTTTTGAAATCATACAAATAGCCGTGCCTGATTGTCATGTTGAATTGTGAGCATGGCTGTGAAATGTTCTCTAGTCTGACTAAAGCCAAATATTTGGTCATAAGTCAACATTTTGTGGATAAACTTGGTACTAAGAGGTTGAAAATTTATATCTTTTCATGGAAAAACGTGTTTGCCAGTGGGAAAAAACAAAGCCTGTTATCTTCCAATGCGGAGGGAGAGAGATGTATGTAATTTTGCAACCTGAATCAAAGTATTTTAAGACTTCTAAGATTGGATTGGCCAAGGAATGGTGCCTTGATGTAATATTTGAATTGCTTCCCCAGGTGGAAGGCAATGGGTGGCATAGGTGTGTGTCATTTCTTACAAGGTTGTATGAAAGGCTATAAGAAGTCAGTTCCTGATGGAGGAGGTCACATTCTACCCACAAATATTTCCAATGGAAAGAATGATGGGGAAATAAGACATCTTGTATCATGATCACTTAGGATCTCGAAAGAAAAAAGCCTTCTAGGTGTGGTGTTACATGCTTGTAATCCCATTATTTTTGAGGTTGAGGCAGGATATCATGGGATCAAGACCAGCCTGACCTATATAATAAGATCCTTTCTCAATTCCTAATCTCTCCCACCCTAAACAAAAATAAAAATCCAAAGAAGTAAAAGCCTGACTTTTGCCTGAGCATCTGTATACTTCTTGGAGAATCTTAGAGGAAATGAAAAGCTAACAAAAGCAGGAACTGGAATAATGCCCTTGACAGTGCCAAGAAGCCTATAGCTCGCCAGGTTGGTTTAATTTCGTTTGTGGTGCTTCAGCCCTTTTACCAATCCTATACCTATGCTTTATAGCATGGTGAGAGCCATAGTGTGAGGGACAACAGGGCAAGCAGCATCCTTGTGTTCAAGAGAGAATGGAAACATGGTGCTTGGATACATTATGAATGTTATGCAGTATTTTAAGAAAGCTAAGTGACAATGTATCCCTTCAAGAAGAAAATCTGTTCACATTCTTCCTGAGTGCCCAAATTCTAGTCAAAGTTGGAATTGTGGCTCAAGATAGCACTGGGTGTCTGCTATGGAAGCTTTTGAAGGGTAGGGCTTTAGCTGGGGATATAGATATACCTCCAATGGAAGAATCTGTAACCACCACACTGTTTACAAGCACTGATGCTAGATAGAAACCTCCTCTGTATGAGTGATGTGCACATGCCCACACGCCCGCACGTGCGCGCACACGCGCGTGCACACACACACACACACACACCACACCATACCACACCACACCACAGATGTATTTTGGCATGCTGGGAACAGTTTTCCATGCCTATAATCCCAGTGCTATGAGACTAGATCAGGAGGATCAAATTTAAAGCCAACCTAGGCAACATAGCAAGATCCTGTTTCAATCCCTCCAACCACTGCCCAAAAAAAAGTAAAAGGAAAATGTGTGTGCCTGGTATGTGAATGCATGTATTGTGTATATGCTTATCCTCATGTGAATGCTGTTAAAGGCAAGTAGTAAAAGTATTGTGTGTTATTCAACCATATGTAACCTGTCCTTAATTGGTTCTTACCATGCATAGCAAACTCTAATGTGTTCTTTTGCTTGGTGTTCCATCATAACCATTTGGGGCACTGAACCCATACTCATATCATGGTAAGCAGGACTTGGCAGTTGGGTTCTTAATAAAAGTTGGTGGACAAGATTTATCGCAGGCCCCAAGCATCTGTATTCTGCTGGGAAGAGACTCTTCCCCACTCATGTGGTGCCATCATGTTCTGCTCTGAAAAATCTTAGTTCACTGAGCATGACTCTCTTCACTCTCAATGGGTGAGGGTCATAATGTGAGAAATGGATCAGTCTCTGTGACCCACCTGCAGCTCTTCCATTCTACCTGCTCTATGAACTGTAATTGGATCTACTAAGATGAATGGTATCAGCCGGTGTTATATTTACAAGTCAGAAATACTAGGAGAATTTGTTGTGCAGTCTAAGTGGGACCCCTTAGAGGAGCCCCTCAAACTCAACCATTTGAGATGCCATACTGCTTGAAAATCGTATAGCTAAATAGCCATGCTGGACTTCATGGTGATTTGGGTCTTTCAGGCCAAGAAGGGGAACTACGCCTTTCTGTGGGATGTAGCCGTGGTGGAATATGCAGCCCTGACAGATGACGACTGCTCAGTGACTGTCATCGGCAACAGCATCAGCAGCAAGGGCTACGGGATTGCCCTGCAGCATGGTAGCCCCTACAGAGACCTCTTCTCACAGAGGTAGGCACAGTCCTCAAGATAATTCCAGTGGCCTGGAAACCTTGGCAGCTGGGATAGAAGAATAACCTCCTCTTAGGACATATGAGCCAGAATAATATACTTATTTCTCATGCCTTCCTAAGCACTACCAGTGTACAACATGTTTTCCTCTATACCTCCTCCTGGGTCTTGCATAGGTACTGGGTTGAAAAGAGGAAGTTCATGGTTCTTTGCATGGAAGGTGATAGTGTGGGTGGAACTATGATATGTGTAGGTGACACCAATGCAGAGTCCCATGTCTTATTGGGAGTGGGAGGGAGCAGAAAAGGGCATCTGATAGGACCCAGAAAGACCCAGTGGTAGTGATACAGAGGCACATAGGAGTCAGTCAGATAAATGAATAATGAATAGGATCTGGGGAGACCTAGTTATCGTCAGAGTGTGACTCATCCATGTAGAAATGCAAAGTAAAGAGTAAGAGAAACCAACTTCTCCATGAACATCACAGGTGACCTGATGGGGCCTGTGGTCTTGGATCAAATTTCCCAACTGAAGGTGATGCTGCTGTCTATGGGGGCAGGGGATGGACCTGGCCCTTTGTTATGACAGGAGGACAAACTCTCATTTCCCATATTCCCCACTCTCTCCACATCAAACCACAGGCTTCTGCATTTCTGTGCCATCTTTGAGAGTTAATTAATTCTGATTTACACGCGTTAATATTAGGGAAACTCAGGAGCATTGTGGAGAAAGAGTAGGGAGTGTGAAGTAGACAGGAAGTTTTAAGCCTTGGTAAACTGAATGGATGGTTCCATCAGAAACCAATATGGCATGTTTACTTTGCATTTGTGTTTCATCTCCCATGTGATTGCTAGCATGAGTATGTCCCTTGAGCCCGCTTAGCTCTACACTCCTGGGCATGAAGTTCTTAAGTGCTACTCTCTCCCCTTTTCCCGTGTTGATTCTCTGTCATTGCAGTTCCTATGGTCTGAATGATCCAGGTTTAAGCAAGGAAGGTAGAGATGAGAGGTATAGGTAAATTAATGGTTGTTCTCTGGTAGCCAGTTTACCAGCAGATGCTTGTTCTTGTCTCTAGGGAGGTCTCGCCTTGGGCCCTCAGATTACACATAGCTGTGATGTGGCACCCTGCTGACTAAAAGAACTATAATAGCAGTCACCGAGAATGTTCTTAGGGAAGGTTCTGCCTTAGCTCATCAAAATGAACAAGAAGTGGTAGGAACATTGCCATAAACAAGTCCATTCAGTGCCAGGCTTAGGGACAGCTACAAGTAGCCTAATCAATACATGAATTCCAAGCACCCTTGTATTGCCCACCAGAAGCATATCCAGATTGATAAAGGAGAATTGTTGAAGACCATCTGTTTTCTACCCTGTATACAACTCAGGGAGTAAAGGAGAGAGTTCTGGGCCTTGCTCTTCCAGCTCTTCAGAGTTTTGGTGCTGAGCCATGTTACTGTTGGATCTGGAAACTCTATTCCCCGTCCTATCCTGGATTTCTAGATTGGATCCTCCTGCTCAGGATCAGTAAGCTTAGAGCCACTAGAGAAGGCTGAGATGGAGGATTTGCAACCCATCTAGTCAGCATGCTTACAAAATTTGATGAAGGGGTAGGAGCAATTAAGGTAAGTGAGGTTTTAGATTCTCTCCAGAACTTCATTAGGTACATACTCTGTATCTTGCTCTGCCCTCTGGAATGGAGAGCAGCAATAAAAGAGGATGAAGTATTTCTCACTTGCTCAAATTAAAGGTGTGAAGAAAAGTGTGGTTTCTCTTGGTGATTCAGAACTCAATGTCATTTTTGAAGTTTATGCATGTTGATTTTCTTTGGTGGGAGGTTCGAGATGATTGCACAGACAGTCAGCCTGCAAAGATCTCTGTAGGACAGATGGTAAAGGAACCCATAATGTCAATGTAGCAGCAGTACCCAAATAGCCATTGAGTCTCAAGACACTGCTCATGGATATATGGGACCCATTAGTGGGAAGTTAGGGGCCCATGAGCTAGCACTGCTCAGTTTTCTTCTGTAAGTTTGCAAGAATGAGTCAATGTATTGTTAATACACTGGAGAAAGAGGAGATGTTGACTAGGAAGTATGTGTTATGAGTAAGGTCTTTCCCCGGCCTGGTCCCACCACCACACCAGCCCCAAATAACACACAGAGATGCTGTATTTGATATAAAGCTGTTGTCCAGTTACTAGTTTCTTATCTGCTGGCTTTGTCTTAAATATTACCCATTTTTATTAATCTAAGTATTTCCATGTGGCCTAATCTTACCAGAGAGAGGGGCAGGCATTCTTCTCTCTCAGTCTTCCATCTTGACTCTCTTCCCTACTCCTTCCTCTCTCCTCCTAGTCTCCTAGTCCCACCTATCTTGAATTCATTAACCAATATTTACAGATGTAAACATATTTACAGAATGACATCTCCCATCAAGTGTGAATCTCTACTATGGGGACAAATAGTCAGCACAACAATGAGATTGTGAATACCCACATTGGGTCAGCTGAAAATCCTCAAGGAAAATTGAAAATCCTCAAGATGGAGAAGACAGACATGAGTCAGAAGTGGTGTTGCTCTCCTCCACTACCATCTTGCTTAATGCAGATGTAAGTGGACGTCCAGCTGTCAGATTCCACCCACAGAACACTCTGACTGCTGGACCCTGCCCCCACCATGCAGAGGAAAAAGCCCAATCTCTGGACTTGAAATCCCACTAATACTCACTCTGGAAAGTTTCAACCTGAAAAGTTCTATACCCGTCTCTAAGAAATTCAAAACAAGTCCTCTTCTTTCCAGTTCTCTGTTGTTTCTTGCCCAAACACAGGCAGCCACCCTTCATAGGTTAGTAGACCACAGCCAGCATGGGGGCAGGCTGTGGGCTACAAAGAGGAGGCTAGCTGTGAATTAGGTCTACACTGATCTTTCTATTGCATTGAAATGGAGTCCTTGTGAAATTACTCTTGGGACTCTGTGACCTCTCCCTCCATTCCAGTGATTGCATAAACAAAATTGAAATGTCCAGATTCCATATCCCTCTTTCAATAAATAATTTACCCCTCTTAGTTTCATCATAATACTATGGGCTCCAAGGGTTGTGCTGACATCCTGCAGTATTGCCATATGTCTCCATATATAGTGTCACCTCCCTATATGCTGGTAACATTCTTTCTTCCAACAGGCAGGTATCTGCCCTTTAGGGGAATTCTCCAGTCTTTATTTCTAACTTCCTGCTGTCAGCAAGTCTAGAAGAGGCTCAAGCCAATTGCAAACTGTCTTTAGCTTGAGTGTAATTCATAAAAATGAAGGGGTTAAGTGAAGGGGCAACAGACTACATAATTTGAATGAGGGCCTACACTATATAACTAGCAGATCCCAGGCTTGTCTGGAATTTCTGTGCTTGTCTTTCCCTTCATCCTAGGAGTCAAGCTATTTATTTGCTTTGGCAGGGACTAGGATACAGATGTAAGTGTATGTGGTGTGGGGTTATGTGCTCTAACAGTTGTGCAGACCACAGCATGCAGAGTATGCATTCAATAAATGTTTAGCAACTTAATAGCCATTTATTGAGCACCTACTGTGTAGCAGGCTCCACAACTATTGAATAAAGCAAAGCACCTGCAATTATATCTGTCTGGAAAATAGAACAACTGGCTTCAGGAAATGGCTATTATCGCTCTGGTTCCTCATAAGTAGGAGTATAGATTGTTATAGTGTACATTAGTTTTGCCTCGTTCTTGAAGGCACTCTGTGCACATGACTTTTTTTTGTCCTGTTGCTTCTATATTTATACTTTCTTGTTTTGTTGTTTGTTTTATTCTGTATTTTCCTATAAATTGACATGTATTCTTTCTGAAATAAGATGTTCCATACCTTACCAGATACAAACAATTGAAAGGATAAAAAGTCAAAAAATGCAAACAGCATGCCTGATGCTGCCCAGAAACTGAGGAGATCAGACCCTATGGTCTTTCAAGGGCCTTGCTGTCTTCCACTTGACCTTGGATAACAGCCTATTGTCACAGGAAGATCATGGCCTCTCAGATCAGTAATGTCTCAGAGCTGAAGAATAGCACTGACACTTTCTGATTGCAGTTATGGGCAAGTCAGGTAGATTTTGTGCTCAGGCCTTCAGGAAGTAAGACCGGCACATTAAGCACTGCTCTGCATGTAGTTAGGCAGACTCAAGCAGTATAAATGATTTGTCCCTATGGTGTTCTCTCAAAAGGAGGTGGTTCCTGGGAAGACTGACTTGATAAGCAGTTGGTCAATAGGGCCATCCGACTGCACAACTATGGACTAGCTTTTGTGAGCTCCATTACTACTTCCAGGTTGTGAGAATGGCCACTGAGATGGGTACCTTTATTTAATCTCAGATATTGGTGATGAGAGAGCTAGGGCTGAGAGGTGCCAAATCTGCATTAGAAATAGTCTCTATCAATGACACATCTGTATTTATAAATACAGAGCTCTGATTTCTTCATGATGATCCAGTAGTTCAGTCACTAGCCTCCTGGACAGTCTGAATAGCTGTGTATAAGTTTCTGTAGCTTAAATTAAGCTCAATCTATTTATCTCGGCCATCAGAGACTTAACGAAGGCCAATGACAGCCACATGGTTTTCCTGCATGACCAAAGCCATGGGAAATTGTGCGGTGAACACTGTACCTGTCCAGTTCATCATGCACCATGCCCTTACAGAGAGCTGTGGTTCTCAGGGACATTCCTTAGAGCTCAGTGACAAAACACACAAATGTACATGTAAATCAGTAACCTCAGAGACAATGTCCTTCCAGGCATGTCCACATTCTAAGCCTTTTGGGATTATCATTGCGCCGATTATTTGCTGGATGTTTTTATAATCTCATTGCCCTTTCAGCTTAGTTTGTTTTCATTATTCACCTAATACATTCACACATTCGTTGACAGAACAAATATCTGATAACAAGTAGCCTTTGTTTTGATATCTACTAAGCTTGCACATGAAAAACATAAAAAGTTTCTACCCTCCTCATTAGAATGGGAACCACAAATCAGTGAGGCTTAGCAGGATTTTGGCCCTCATCCAGTAACACACAGATGAGATCCAAGCCTACTCCGTACTGAGCTGGGTCCTTCCCAGACAATAAGAGGCTACACCATGCTGAACGCACGATAGCAACAGGACCTGTGGTACTCTCAGGCTGTCACCCTTTCTGTTCTCCAGATGTAGACCCATGTATGGACTTTTCTACTTTGAATCTGTAAGTCACCCATTATACCTTGTTAGATCACTATGTAGACCTCTAGGTTACAGAAGGAATGAACAAAACACCACATTGGTAGAAGCCACCATGGGGAATTATCCCACTCCCATGCACCAAGACTCCGTCTCGCAACCTGTTAGAGCTCACATTTCAGTCTGGCTGTTTTACTCTCTTCATCCCATGTCTTCCTCTTCCTCGTTCACCATTCTACAGCTTCACTTCTGTGTTGTAGCTGACTAACTGCTGTGAGTCCTCTGTACCACACAGGATATTCATGCATATTCTAGTTTCAGCAGTTGCCAACTTCAAAGTGGCTATGGGAAGGTATTTCATTTCTCTGTACCTTGATTTCCTTCTCTGTAAAGTAAAGCAATAGGAATAACAATCCTAGAAGGTTGGCATCTAGGATTCAGAAAGACCTGGTAAGCATAGAGAATAGAAACACCTTGCAAGAAGTAAGTACTAGACCACCCTGAGTTGCTTCACGATTCATTGTCCTTCAGGTTTTACCTCACTGTTCTCTCCTCCATAAACTCCTCTTTGAGCCTCCAGTTAGAAACCCCGAATGTGTGTCTCCCTGGCAATTATGCTTTAATTTCCTGTGTTCATCACAGCTTTGGTCTTCCCACTGATAGTCATTGTTGTTTTAGTGTTGGCATTTGTATCTTTACAAAGCTTAGCAGCATTGGGCATCATTCTTAGCATGGTATTGAGTCTTCTTAAATGAAATTATGAAGGATAATATGGGATAACTTGGGGATGGGGCCTAAGTATAAACATGAAATTCATTTATGATTCATATTATCATATACATATAGTCTACAGGTAATCTTATGTGATATTTTAAATAAGTTTATGCATTAAGTAAGTTTGTGTTTATTAACACATAAGAGGTCAAATGTGGAATTTGCCATTTGTGTTCTTATGCAGATACACAAAAAGGTTAAGATTTTGAAGTATTTTGGATTCCAGATCCTTGGATTAAGGATGCTTGACTTTCAGATGTTAGAAATTGACTGACAGTTTTTCTATGACTGTGGGCATACTAAATCCACATTCTGGGGGTTTGCTTAGTTCATGTCTTTGTGTCCCAGGTTTATCCTAAGCACTTTCTCTGCAATCCATGTGAGGAATCTAACATATTTTGTCACTAAACCTTTTGCCACATGTTCAGGAGGGACAGGAAAAGCCTATTGTTGTATGCTCTGAGAGAAGCATTCTGGGTACAGGTTGCAGAATGCACTGTGGAAGAATCTGAGAATTACTATAATGAGCATGGCAGGCCATTGACAGGACACAATGGCTAAGCTGATGAACTCAGTGACTATGGCTTACCTGTGTTGTGTCTTACAGGATCCTGGAGCTACAAGACACAGGGGACCTGGATGTGCTCAAGCAGAAGTGGTGGCCACACACAGGCCGCTGTGACCTCACCAGCCATTCCAGTGCCCAGACTGATGGCAAATCTCTTAAGCTGCACAGCTTTGCTGGGGTCTTCTGCATTTTGGCGATTGGCCTCCTTCTCGCCTGCCTTGTGGCTGCCCTGGAGTTGTGGTGGAACAGCAACCGGTGCCACCAGGAGACTCCCAAAGAGGTCAGTATCCTCATAGTCTTGCCACTGTACAGAGGCAGGGTGTCTCCGTGGGCCATGTATTTGGTGGGTGGTTTTCTTCTAGTTAGTATTTGCCAGACTCGCCTTGTCTAGACAGAGCAGCATTGTATGTTGGGGGGGATATGTCATATTTTATTTTGATTTTAAAGCAAGAGAGAAAATATAGGGGATGTTTTCATGTTTGAACAAAGTGCCAAGGGACCAGCCATGGCCACTAAAGTCCTGTATTTATCTATAGAGCAGGTACGGCGTGGGCAGCGCCAGAGAGCCCTTCCCCACCCTGCCCCGCCCATGTGCCTCCACCCTGACCTGGAGAGACCACCTGTAGGGTAAGAGAGGAGCCCGCATTCCTTCTTGGTTCTCTTTGGTGTCTCACACAGAGACATAGGCCCCATGACCCTAGTAAGCAAGGGGTTCCTCATCCCCCATCTCCCTCTTTCTGCTCTCCCTCACATTGGCAGACACTGGAGCTATGTCCAGATCCTAGGTTCTGGGTGCTTCTCTACTGCTGATTCTGTTCCTCGACACATATGTTTTGTTGGGTATTTGTTATTCAAGGTCATTTCCTGATTTGATTTTTTTAAATGAACCCCTTAAAGGCAGTTCCCCTAAAAGAGGGTGTCAAAAAGTGTGATGATGCTCTGCCAGCATAAACATATACATAGAAATCTATAGGAAGAACCCAGGCAGTCCATCCATTGTGGTCACTGCTTGCTAAACATGCCCTAGCTTCATCAAGAATCAGACATTGGTTCATAGATTCTTCAGAGGCCTCTGGGGACAAATCTGTAAAGCAGCTGCCATTCTGTCCCAAAGCAGTTGTTATTAAGGATGTTGCCTGATGTTCCTGGTTTCATTTTTACTGGAGGCTCAGGTGACATATAAGATCATTAATTGGCTTTGGAGGTGAGAGATCAAGGAGAAAAGCAAAATAAACTGGGGTAACACAGACAGGAGGAAGGAAGAGCTGAATAATTTCACTCGGCCTGGTGGGGTCTGGAAACTGGTACCACTGAACAACAGAGGTGGCTCATCCTGGCATCTATTTCTGAGAACTGCCATGATTGGCTGGCTGCATCCTCATCCATCAGTCTGAAAGGAGTCCCTGACAAAGCAATAGCTGTCTCCCTGCCCCTCTGCTGACCATTCATCTCAGTAAGCTTTTCCCTTGGATGGCAGGTACTGCTGAGTCAGCGCTAAAGTGTGGATGGAAGGAAGGAAGAAAGGAAGAAAGGAAGGCAGGCAGGCAGGCAGTCTGGCTTTTCTACCAACTTGAAGGCTCTCCTGTCATCTCTATACCATAGGAGCAGAAGAAGGAGGAAGTTTAAGGAAAACTCATTAAAGAAACAGTCAATTGCTCTGTCCAAAGATGCATTTTGTAAAGTTGGGAAATGATTATTTTTTTAATTTATTTAATTTATTTAATATATTTAAAAATGGAGGAACCATGACTTACTAGTGAACAGATAATGAAAAGCACTCCTACCCCTTGTCCTCAGCATCTGGAAAACCTTGTCAGTTTTCCTAATACAAAACCCAGGGCACCTTTCCTGCTGTCACCACCCCAGGGCTTTGGACATAAGAGCAACTTCAGGCAGGCTTGGTGGGTGGTTCTAGAGCCCCTTTAAGTAGGGAGAGGGAATATAGGACAGACAGAAAGTCACTGGCCAACCCACATTGTATCCCCCACCTGTGGTGTTTGCTTGTTTGAGGTCTGGCTTTCTCCTCAGTGTGCCTCTTAAGCCCTGTACAAATGTCCCATTGGTCAGGTTATTTTCAGATGGGTGTACATTGCAATGGCATTTGGATGTCTCTCCTGGCTGGTGTGTGTGTGTGTGTGTGTGTGTGTGTGTGTGTGTGTGTGTGTGTGTGTGTGTGTGTTTTAAACTGGGGAGCCTTGTCTACTTTTAGTCTTACCCCTCATAGCCCCTAGTGCAGTGATCATTCCAGTTGTGGTCACACACGATCATTAAGAGAGAGCAACAGAGGCAGAAAAAGACAGACATAAATAAGAAAGTTCAAGCAAAAGGAGAACACAGAAGGCCAACAGATGACCAGCTTGTAGAAACACAAATTCTTTTTTTTCTTCTTAGCAGCACCTCTTGCTTCTTTCTCACTTCTGCATAAATTCACATTTGCTGACATGAGAGAATACACTTCCAAACAACCTGGGCTTCCACAATGTGAGCCTCCCTGCCTGCCTGTCATTCTGCATCCAGACAGTAGCAAAAATGACAGAGACACAGGGGAAGCACAGTAGCTGTTGTCCAACCTCCTGCACCTGTTGATGTTTAAATGGACTGCATGGGAACCTTTCCCCTGTTTTTATAGGATGCCAGTTGGTGTTACTTGCACTTTCCTACCATTATGGTCCCTGAGCCGCATCAGTCCCAAAATAACACACAGACTCTATTAGTTCTAAAGCTGTTGGCCAATGGCTAGAGCTTCTTACTTGCTAGCTCTGCCTTAAATTATTAATCCACAATTACTAATATATGTATTTCTACATGGTATTATCTTACTGAGAACACCAGACTCAAGTCATCCCCTCCTCCTGAGATCACATCAGGACTCCATCCTAAGTTTCTCCTCCACCTCTCCTAGTCCCACCTATCTTGCTTATCTATTGGCCAACAGTGCTTTTATTCATTAACTAATCAGAGAAATACATTTACAAAATGACATCTCCCATCATCTCATCCCCTCTTTTCTGTCTAAAATAAAAAGGAGGGCTTTAACTTTAATATTGTAAAATATATAACAAAACAGTTATCAAATAAGAACTATAGTTAACAATATTTAGTTCATTAACAGGGATAAAAGAAAATATTCTGTCATCTATCTTAGCTTTGTGAGTCCAAAGTCTTATATGTTTGTAACTTGTCTTTAATCCTAACTATGGAAAACTATAACCATAACTATCTGTCTACAACTCCATTAAAGACTACAGAAGGATAGTATATAAACGCTAGAAATGACAGACATCTTGCTACCTGGACAGGCATCCGAACTTCTGTAAATTGGCACATCTACCATCAGCCCACAGGCCATAGTGTATCTGGCAGAACCCTCAGCAAAGCAGAACATTTCAAAGTGTCCCACCTGTGTTGGCAGTTTGTCAGTCACTTTTCTTTCTGTCCTGTAGACTGTTTGGCAGACTCTTCCATGAAGCAGGAACCCTGTAGCATTGTTCATCTTGTATCAGCAGTCACTTTCCTCTGGGTCCTGCATGTCTACTTTATAAAGCATATACTTAAACAATCTATACAAGAGCAGTATCGTGCCCAAATGGTTAGTCTTGCCATATTAAAAGCAAACTCCATAATGAATTTCTTCAGTGTCCATCTTCCCTTCTGATGCAGTTGATGTTTCCAGGAACAGTTGTGCCTCACTGTTAAGAAAAATCCTAAATCATTTCAAATGCCACATTCTGTAGGTCTTTGAAAGGTTTGAAGAATGCTTATCCAATTGAAATTTATCTCTATATATCTACAAAATCTAACCAACCTAACTATAAACTTTGACTATCATAGGTAATTACACATTCTGCACTTAATTACACATTACATTTGTAAATGAGCTATAAAACACAATACCTAAACAAGACGATAAATATACATATCACAAAATTGACCTTAAATTTGTATCAATAAATGAAAATCTATTCCAAAACTAAGTATTCATTTCTATACCATAATCCCCCTTTTACCTTTAAAAAAAGAGATTGATTGTGATCATTAACCATTTATAACCAATACCATTTAGATGAAAACAAATATTTATAGAAAATATTTGGGAATGTGGGCATCATCTTCTCCAAACTGCTTCCTGCTGGTTGGGGACGCTTTTTATACACCATGGGAATCCTAAGAAGATGCAGAAATACTGCATGTAGTGTTCTTTCTGCTAGACTGCCTTGTCCCAGCTGTTTTGAATATCGGATCACCTGGGACACTGCTTCAGGGGGTCATGCTTTGTCAAAACATGTTAGTCTGGAAGGAATCCACCGCTTTTCATTTTCTGTAGAAACATAAATAAAATATCTTTTTCCCAAGTAACATATCCTTATACTTAAATTTTGAAGTCAAGGCATTTTTAAAACATATAAGTTGGATTAATTCAGCAGCATTGATAATCAACTGTATTTTAGCAGTTGTTCCTTCCTTAACAATTCAGCAATTTAAAGACAACACAATAGCACACAGTATTCAGACTCTCTGTGTATTTTTTAAATCTTAATATGGCTTATTTATTTATTATTAATCTACTTCTTTTCCTTTTTTCCTTTTATGAGACAGGGTTTCTCTGTGTAACTTTGGCTGCCCTTGAACTCACTCTGTATATCAGGCTGGCCTTGAAACCACAGAGATCTGTTTGCCTCTGCCTCCTGAGTGCTGGGATTAAAGGTGTGTGTCACCAACACCTGGCTGCCTATGTATATTTTTAAACACACTGTAAAAACCCTTTAGGTTTTACTTCACCTGAATCTTTACTATACATCTCTACCTGCTTTTCTAGCCACATGTGTTTATCTGCTAAACATCATTGCTAAAATTAAAGTGGCAGCTGTTTTAGCCACTGGATTTCTAATATGGCAGGGGTGAGTTTACCACCAGCACTGGGAGCTGTGCTCACTACCTTGGTCTATGCTGCCATCAAGCAGCATGCTGCCAGCTTGGAGGTGTGCTCACTGCCACTGCCAGCTCTGGTATACACCATTCAGTTGTTAAAAAGAGACTCGCAGTTTTTTCTGCTTATGCCAAGTCAGAAAATCTCCCTTAAAGGAGCCACACGAGTCTCTGCCTGTCTGTAGCAAAATAGAGCCCACCTGAGAAAATATGCTGCTACCGAGATGCTTGTCTCTGTTCTTTTGTTTCTAAAAACCCTTTTTAAGCTTTTGTCAACTTTTTTTTAAATTTACATATTGATCCCAGTTCCCTCTCCATCCCTCCCTTCCACCTTCCCTCTTTCTTTCCCTCTCTCCCCCCTCACATGCACCCCACACCCTCTCCGCCCACCTCCCTCCCCAACACTCCACATGTACAGTGATGCCATCCAGGAGGGGTCATCTAAATCTGTCAAGTCATTTGAAGTAGTGACTAGGACATATAATAATCAAAACACCTAACATAGAGAATAAAGAAGAATATTAAGAGCAGTGAAGGAAAGGGGACAGGTAATACATAAAGGCAGACCTATCAAAATTACAACTGACTTCTCCATGGAAACTCTCAAGGCCAGAAGGTCCTGGATAGATGTGCTACAAGTACTAAGTGACCACGGATGCCAGCCCAGGCTACTATACCCAGCAAAACTCTCAATCATTATA